AAAAAAAAAAAAAATCGACTAACCTTGCACTCTGATCCAAATACATCACATCGTTAACAGCATGAACAATCATTTTCTTGACCTGTTTGAAGAGGAGCAGAAGAATAAGTCCCTTGTAACAAAATGCCTCACATAATATAATTCTTGCGTGCATATCATAATAGCCTATATCTGTACCATCCAGGAATGAATGATCGTACTCAATGCAAAACACATAAATATACGCGTGTGTGTGTATAAAAATTGAAACGGAGACAGAATTCAAAAAAACCTTAATTAACACAAAAGTCGTCCAACAAAATGAATAGAAAAAAAAAAACCACAATGAAAGGAAACTCATTCTAGGCACAAGTTTGAACAATCACACTAACCCACCGAATCAAGAAAATGACCCATGCATTGAGTCGACTAGCTCTATTTCTTCAATGCTTGGCCGGTCAAGATGCTCAACTGAGATAGAGCGCTTGAACTCGGTGTCCAGTGCTGATCCTAGGCTTGCCAATGCATCTACATGAGTATTCTCTGCCCGTGGAACTTGTTGGATGGTGCAAGTAGGGAATTCCTTCAAAAGTCCTTGCACAACGGTATGCTTGGATTTGAATTTGGTTACCGTTTGCCTATCGAATGGATATTGGGTCTATTATGTGATATCCAGGTTCGATAGGTTCGTAGGCGCTGCAGGCCCGGTTGACCATTATGGAAAGTTTGAACACTTGGTTGACCATGAGTCTTCTGAGACCGTCTCATCCTTCAGGAAGTACTAGAATGACTCTATAAACCTTCTTAAAGGTTCGGCACACTTTGAGGTTGAAAACTAGAGTTTTGAGTTAAAGTTCGTTGTGCGTTACTTTTATTTACTAAGTCCGGTTATTCTCTCAAATAGGTACCTAGGCGCAATGTATCGCTTAGGATGAACTCTCTCAAGGTTGAGCTAGCATTGGACTTGTTGTGAGTAGATGTTTTGATCGGTGCATAATTACATATCATTTTGTACCTTTCTAACTTATGATTTGGTTATGTTTTTGAGTTAAACTTGTGCTTTTAATATTTTTTTGTGTTTGTTTCAGTGTTATAAGCTTTGAGACTCATTAAATGCATTTTCGAGACAAGTTAGCTCATTTGTGTCTGCAAATCTGTCAACTTCACGGATTGGACTGTACTTGCTCAGGATGAACCAGATGATGAGCCCTATATCATTGGTAAGATGCAGAAGTCTAGTTTCTGGAGCATTTTACGGTTCATGATTCCGAGTCTCCTAGAGGAAGTTATGCAAGTTTTGGCAGCTTAAGGTCAAATTCGGCAGCATCTGCGTTACTGGGCCAAAAATGACATTTGAAGGTCTTTCCGATTTTTTCTTGAGTTGGGCTACATATGCTTGGAAAGATAATTCAAAGGGTCTGAAGATCCAAATTTTTCCAGATTTTGTAGGAGGGAAGATCAAGTCCAAAACAAGCCCACAAGCTGACTGCAATGCATTGTCATGCATGACATAGACATTCCAGCTATGAAAGTCTAAAGGAGCAAAAACAAGACATTGTGGGAAACATGTTTGGATAAATCAAGAAGCACTTTCCAGGCTGCTAGTGGGATTAGTTGGTACATGTTGGAGCTATTAAAGAGAAAGAATATGCATGCATGTGAAGCAAAAAGAAAGGAAAGAAAAGATATGAAGTCATTTCCAGTCTATTTTCGGCAGTCAACTTGCAAGGCCCAAAACGTACACTTGTACTGCTCAGATGGGAATACATTCTTCATAAAAGTTGTTCCAATGGGTGTCTTGTTAGAAATGTGCCCTAAGAGCCAATACATTTGATGTGATCTCCTTAGACACTACTACAAAAAGGGCAAAAGACGACCAGAAAAAGACGACGGTAGAACAAAAAACCGTCGTTGTTTTTAAAAAGACGACGGTGACAAAAAACCGTCGTGGATAAGTGACATAAACAACTAAAAAATGGAGATACTGTTGAGAATTTTTTTATAACAACGCACACAAATAAAAAAACGTCGTCTTATTAAAAAGCTTTTCTTCAGAGTTAAAATCTGACCAAAAAACAACGACAGCAGGTATGACAAGCGTCGTCTTTTAAAAATCAAGTGTCCTTTTTTTGGTAAAGACATGGTTGTTTTGAAAGAACTATCGTCTATTATAAGTAAAGACGACGGTTTTTTTATAAAAAGGGTCGTCTATTATTAAGTAAAGACGACCCTTTTTATATGAAAAGGGTCGTCTATTATGAAGTAAAGACGACCCTTTTTATATGAAAATGGTCGTTTATTTTTAAGTAAAGACGACGGTTTTTTATAAAAGGGTTGTCTATTATTAAGTAAAGACGACGGTTTTTTTTATAAAAATGGTCGTCTATTATATGTAAAGACGACGGTTTTTATATAAAAAGGGTCGTCTATTATTAAGTAAAGACGACGGTTTTTTTATAAAAAGGGTCGTCTATTATATGTAAAGACGACCCTTTTATATGAAAAGGGTCGTCCATTATGAAGTAAAGACGACCCTTTTTATATGAAAATGGTCGTCTATTATTAAGTAAAGACGACGGTTTTTTTATAAAAGGGTTGTCTATTATTAAGTAAAGACAACGGTTTTTTTTATAAAAAGGGTCATCTATTATATGTAAAGACGACGGTTTTTTTATAAAAAGGGTCGTCTATTATTAAGTAAAGATGACGGTTTTTTTTATAAAAATGGTCGTCTATTATGAAGTAAAGACGACCCTTTTTATATAAAAAGGGTCGTCTATTATGAAGTAAAGATGACGGTTTTTTTTTAAAAAGGGTCGTCTATTATGAAGTAAAGATGACCATTTTTTTTTAAAAGGGTCGTCTATTATATGAAAAGATGACGGTTTGTTTTTAAAAAGGGTCGTCTATTATATGAAAAGATGACGGTTTGTTTTTAAAAAGGGTCGTCTATTGTGAAGTAAAATGACGGTTTGTTTTTAAAAAGGGTCGTCTATTATATGAAAAGATGACGGTTTGTTTTTAAAAAGGGTCGTCTATTATATGAAAAGATGACGGTTTGTTTTTAAAAAGGGTCGTCTATTATATGAAAAGATGACGGTTTGTTTTTAAAAAGGGTCGTCTATTATATGAAAAGATGACGGTTTGTTTTTAAAAAGGGTCGTCTATTATATGAAAAGATGACGGTTTGTTTTTAAAAAGGGTCGTCTATTATATGAAAAGATGACGGTTTGTTTTTAAAAAGGGTCGTCTATTATATGAAAAGATGACGGTTTGTTTTTAAAAAGGGTCGTCTATTATATGAAAAGATGACGGTTTGTTTTTAAAAAGGGTCGTCTATTATATGAAAAGATGACGGTTTGTTTTTAAAAAGGGTCGTCTATTATATGAAAAAATAAATCAGAGATCAAGTAACGGGACAAAACATTTCGACGGTTATAAACGAAAAATCAAGATTTAATGGTTATTTCAACTCTGATTTTGATGATTTTTTACATCTACACTCCTTGACCCTATATGAATACAATGACTGCATTCGATCGTCAATTTAAAATATTTA